AGGGTTTGAATCTTGATGGTATCTCTTGGACGTGTGTGATGTCTTCGAACCACTTTGATCCCAAGAAGCACACTCCTTTGTATAGTCAAAGCCGGTTGATCGTCCAACAGTCGACACAAAGCCACATGGAGCTTCCAAGAATGGGATAAAGCGCCCTGCAAAGATCAAAGGTAACATGCAAGCAAGTTGGTAAAGGGTTTGGATAGTGATATTTCTGATCATATAATTGCTAATCAAAGAATCATATTTACCATACGGCTTTCTATTCAATAACGAAGGCGTTGGCTTCTCAGTACCAAGGGCAAGTGCAGCCATAGTGTCCATGATCAAATTGACCCACAACATTTGGAGCGCATTGAGGGGAGACTCTCCTATGAATATCGAGCCGATCACACAAAGCGCCAACGCAGAGACGTTCACTGTTAATTGGAACTGAAGGAACTTCCTGATGTTGTCGAAGACACATCTTCCCCATAACACTGACTTGACAATGGACTTGAAGTTATCGTCGAGAATGACTATATCAGAAACACGTTTGGCGACATCAGTCCCTCGAATACCCATAGCAAGTCCAATGTGTGCAGCTTTAAGTGCTGGGACATCATTCGTCCCATCTCCAGTGACTGCTACAACTTCACCTTGGTCTTTCAACAAACACACAAGGCGTTTCTTGTCCTCAGGAGAACATCTTGCAATGACCTTTAAGTTTGGTAACATCGCGATGACTTCTTCATCTTGTAACTCAGAGAATTTCTTCCCTTCTATCTCTACATCAGTCTCTTCGGTAATAATGTGGCATTGTCTCGCTATCGACTTTGCAGTCGCTATATTATCACCAGTTACCATTCTAACAGTAATCCCAGCACTTTGGCAGGTGCGAACGGCTTCTTCGACTTCGGGTCGAAGGGGGTCTTCAATCCCAAACAAGCACAAAAGTGTCGAACCGTCCTCATTAATCGTTTCAAACTTCTTTGTTAAGTCGCCTTTGTCTGCTGGCTCCATATCTTTGAAGCTCAAAGAAAGGGTTCTGTACCCCTTCTCGGCCCATTCACGCTGACATGCCTCAAGTTCGTTTCTGATGTCCTCAGTCATGTCTTTCATTATTCCACTTGCATCCATATACCGGGTGCATGTGTCTAATATCATCTCAGGAGCTCCTTTAGTAAACATTCTGAGAGAATCTGGGCGTTTCATCCACATCAAAGTGTTCATTCTCTTCTTAGCCGATGAGAATGCAAACATCTGGTAAATGTCGTCTCCATGTTGCTTTCTCATCTCAAGGTAATCGGTTCCTCTGTCTCTGCTAAATAACAACAAAGCGCCTTCTGTTTTGTTTCCAATGACTCTGATGTCTCCATTCTCATTACTTAATGAAGTAGATGGCGATGAATTCATAGCAATATTGAGGTGGATCATGTCTTCGTATGTCTTGTCAATGTGGAAGTCCTGTCCTCGTCTTTCCATTTTCACTCCACCGAACCACCCATTCACCACAGTCATTCGATTCTCAGTTAACGTCCCAGTTTTGTCGGAACAGATGTTCGTGCAGTTCGACATCGTTTCACACGCTTTCAAGTGTCTCACCAAGTTATTGTCTTTGAACATTTGTTTCATTGAATACGCCAACGAGATGGTGACAGCCAATGGAAGGCCTTCAGGGACGGCAACTACAATAATTGTCACACCAATAATGAAATAGTCCACTAACACCGTCATAGTTTTCCAATCAAAAGCATAGTCTTCACACCAATCTTTAAAATTCGGGTCGGTTTCAGACACATTACACGTCTCACATCCTTTGATGATCCCATTCGTCTCTGTTGATTTCATGACGGGGTCATGATTAAGTTGACTCACCATATAATATATGGTCAAGACTAAAAATACTATACCACCACACGCCATACCTAAATACCCAATTTTAACAGCTAAGTCATCTAAACTCTCTTGTAATGGAGTTGGATCACTCTTATTCTGATTCACTGCTTGCATGGTGTTACCCCACATACTATTGGGACCAACTGCTACTACTAACATCTCACCATTCCCATCAGTCACTTTGGTCCCAGACATCATATAAAAGTTATCAGCAGTTTTACGAACAGCATCAGACTCCCCAGTCATGTCACTTTGATCAATACGAAGGTCATTTCCTCTCACATAAATACCATCGGCTGGAAGAATGTCACCGACGTCCAAATAAATCAAATCACCAACACACAAGTCGAAGGTAGAGATTTCAGTCTGTTGCCCATTTCGAGTCACTTTAATCTTGACGTCTTGTTCCTCCGAAGATAAGGCTATGAACTTCTTCTGCTTGGAGTAGTCGGACGCAGAACCTCCAAGAGAAACGGCTAAAACTGCTAGAAGAATTGCAAAGCCTTCAATCCAATCCGTGTTAAACTCCTTTTTGGCATCACTCGTCTCTACAACACAAGAGTCTAAGTTACTTGGAATGGCAAACGCAAGAATCAGTGAAACGATTGCAGCTACGATCAAGATAATCAATGTCTTATCTTGAAGTGCTTCAAACCATATTTTCCAGAAAGGAACAATAACAGGGTCAGGCGTTTTATTGTGACCAAACTGCTCACGACGGCGAACAAACGACTCGTCTGAAATACCATTGTGGAGGTCAGTCTGAATAGTTTTGGCAATCCCTTCAACGCCACCATAATGTGTTAATAACTCTCCGTCTTTGTTTGATATCATTTTGGAGAGGGTACTCCCCGTGATATTATAGTATGGTGTAGCATCTTTCTTGCCCGTGTACAATTCTAACTGCTTTTGTTGTTTTGATGGTTTTCCACCCATTCGATATTTTTCGAGTTTCAGAATTCGAGTTTCAGTTGTTTTTGTTAATGACTCTTCATTTGTTTTGTTGAAAATTTTGTTGAAACACAAAATTTGGTGTGTTTCTTAGTTAAATTAATAATTGTTTTCTTATTGTATTTTTATTAAGATACACAAAAGTTGAAAAGATCCAATTAATTTGGCATTGTACAATGACTTTAATAATATAATTAAAATAATAGTTTATTATTTGGATTTAATATTGGTTTGATAAAATAACCATAATTATAGTTAATGAAAGTAAAATGTTCAATTATAGTCAAGCGTTTCCAAAATAATTATTGCCGAAAATGTGGTATTATAACGTACGAATTTATAGAGAAAATGAACATTTTGGTTATGAAATGGTGACGTGGGTAATTAGGATTGTGATTTTGGAAACCTCTGATTATAGTTGATGTTTTTATTGTTAGACATTTTATAAAAATACCATATTATTATAGATAAATTATTATTAATATATTATAAATAATAGCATAGAGTTGAAGATTTTGAATTAAAAATTTGAATCATTTTGTGCTAAATATTTTGATAAATATGAATAAATATGAAAAGTTTTCAATAAACGAATTCGTAAAAATAACAAAGCAATAAGCAGAGGAACTCAAAAAATTTTTTTAGTATGTTCTATTGTGTGTTATTCTTTGTTGTTATTTCAATAGCGTCGACCGGAAAAGAGCCAGACCCTCATTGCTCATCAGCTTATTGTGCAAGTTGCTCAGAAATGAATGCTTCAAATTGTATGAAGTGTATTGAAAATTATATCAACGTATTAGGAACGTGTGAGTGTTTGTTTTTTGATTATTTAATTCATGTTATTAATATTGGTGACACTCAGACATGACAACTGCGCATTGCTTAGAACGTACAGAGACTCGAAATGTCAATTCCATATACACCACAAATTGCACTAAATGTGAAGACGGGTATCAACTCGAATCCAACACGTGTGTACAGAGTGTTGGTGTCTGTGACACATTTTCAGCTGATGGAAAATGTTTTTCGTGTCAAGTTGGAAGTTATATGAGTGCCGAAAAGGTGTGTGTTGACTGCGGCACATATGATCCGTTTTGTCGAAAATTTAGTAATAAACAATGCACCACATGTACTGTTTGTAAAGCCGGGAGTGTTCTAATCAATGGAAAGTGCCATATGACAATACCCTTTTGTAATACCTACGTTGCTTATAGTACAACGGATAGTGTGACGAAGTGTAAGACCTGTGAAGATGGGTATTACCTTCTCTCAGGGAGATGTATTCGTTTGTTTTTTGTTGATGTTTGCGATCGATTTCTTTTAAAAACGTTAAATAATGAATAGTTGGATCTTTAAAACATTGTAGAGAGTATTACAATTCTTCTATTTGTGTCAAGTGCTTCGATGGATTTGTATTGGAAACAACCCCAGATAATAAAGTGAAAATCAACATTGACAAAGATAACACCTTTTTGTACTCGACTAATATTGTCGAAACGAGGTGTACACCAATTCGTGGTATCGGACATTGTCTCCAATATTCATTTAATGAATTGAAAGTGTGTTTAGAGTGTGAAAAAGGATACTACTTAAATGAAGGAAACGTTAAATGTGTGAAAGGATCAACGGCAAATTGTGTTTCATATTTTACTTCGGGTCACTGCTCAAAGTGCTCTGAAGGGTATTATGTAGATCTTGGTGTTTGCGTGAAATGTACAGAACAAGATTTGTTTGAAAGATACAGGTGTACACAATGTAAAAGTACAATACAAACCGCGTTGTATGAATGCGTTGAAACCCATTGTGTAGATCAAAACATAGTCAATGGAGTTTGCGTGACATGCGAGTCTGGGTATGTCACAGATACAACCAGTCAAAGCGGGAACTGTGTAAAATCTAATAATAATTGTGTAAAAACGTCAAATGAGAAGTGTGTGTTATGCACCACAGGCTATTATTTGAATTCAAGTTTCGAGTGCGAAAAATGCGATTCGAATTATTGTGTGCATTGTATCAACTCAGCAAAAACATGTGATAGAGAGACGTCGTTCTACCAAAAAACCGTTTTTCCAACTTGTGAAGACAAACTCTGTAAATCGTGTTTGAGTGACAATAAAACGTGTGTGGAATGTTTCAATGGTGAGATAGCAGACAGTTACGGAAAGTGTTCAGATATTATTTGTTCCAAAGGAATTGATGGGCTGTGCCTCAAATGTACTCAGTACACACCCTCAGATGACTCGATAGTGTTTTATGACTACCTCCCAACGGATGGAATATGTTTACCAATTGATCTTACTTCTGGTAGTATGTGCCTTTGGGTACTGGGAACTTTTATTGTTTTCGTGTTCTTTTGATTATAAATTGTTCTTTTTTATTTTGTGTTTTATACAAATTTATTGTATGTAAACTTTTAATTTGTTGATTTTTTATTAAAAAAAAGATAATTTTGTTAAATGTTGTCTTACAAATATAGTGAAAACAATCTACATTTCTCGCTCTTTGGTTTGTGTTTCGGGTTGAGAGTTGTCAAGTTCCTTTATCATGCCAGTAAACTTCATGTAGTTCTGCTCGCAGACAGTGTGTTGTTGATGCAATTCAGCAACCTGCTTTCTGAGCGCCTCTTCACTGAAGTTAAATAGCTGCTCGTACTTGTCTGGAGCCAGGCCAAGAAATCCATCGAGTAGCCAGGAGAGAAGGTTGTCTCTGACTGGGAAAACGACGAACGTCTTTATCTTCCCAATCACCAGCGATGTCATTCTTTCTTTGATAACTTGGAACAGTTGTTCTGCCATTGCAGCAACTTTGTCTCCGCGTTCACCAACGTTTCCTGTTGCACTTTCGGCGGATCTCACGGTTGCCCAAAAGTCGTCGACCAATTTGTTTGTGCACTCTATTTTCAGTTTGTCGATGAACGTCATGAAACCTTGTTTCAAAACAGTCACAAACCCCTCGAACCTGACAAGACCAGTAACACCAACTTCGACTTTGTTTTCTGGGACTTCAAATTTGAACACGTCCTCTTGTTTTTGTTCTGGAATCGCTCTTCCGTTTGGTGTGTCTTTGACAATTGCAGTCGTGATGTCGAAGAGCCTCACCAAGTTACAGCAGACTTTTTCAATTGCTTGTTCCATCAGTGGTTTTATCCCCATCACGGCAACGTTGGCAACAACGATTCTTGCTGCCTTTTCATCATTTCTTCCCATTCCAAATGCTCCCATCACTTCATCCTTTGTTGGAGAGATAAAGTCGAGCGATTTTAATTTGTTTTCATACAGTTGGAGTGTTCTCTGAATCTGTGCACCTCCAAAGAGTTTTGTGACGTCGTTATTTGGGTTGTCAAGACCTTCATCTGAAACAGTCTGTCCATAAATGTTGGGGTCAACACCAGCACGACCTTCGAGCAACTCGGTCACATTTTTAGAAAAAAGTTGTATGAACCGCACAGACCTCTGTCTGAGCAGGGCTGGTTCAATATGCGTCATCTCTTTTTCCATCAACATAATCTCGCGTTTTGACTTCTCGACAAGACTCGCCAGTTTGACTGCTGTTGGCGCAAGAGACTCCTTGTATTTGTTCTGTAGGAGGTTCTCCAGAAACATCTTTGCGCGTGGAAAGCCAATCTGTTCGACAAACTTTTGCTCTTCAAATCCAATTTCCAGAAGTTGTCTGTAGTCGCTGATGTAACTGTCTGTGATGTAGTCGGGATACTGTTCCATGGAGATGTTTCTTTTGCATGGCAGAGAAATGAAAAACGGCTTTTTATCACCGATGATCAATTTGTCTCCGCTCAAATAGACATCGACAGAGTTTTTGTCGGTGAGCTCTTTTACGCGGTTGTCGAACTTGGTGTTAATCAAAACAGTTCTTTTGAACTCTGGGTCGACCTCTCTGACAATTGGGCGCGAGACGGAGTTTGCCCACTCAGTTGTTGACTGTTCTAGACAGACAATGATTCTGTTTGGTGGTGTGATCAGTTCCTTCACCATTTTCGAAATGTCGTCTCTCAGACCTTCCTCGCCGCCGATTCTGAACCCTGGTGTATCGATAATGTTCAAGTTGCTGCACCCAGCAAACTCGACTCTGAGGATAAGCGGTTTGTTGCTGACGTTGTTTCTTCCAGCGACGTCACATGTTCTGTTTGCTATTTCGCGGCTCAGGTACTCAACTGGTATTTCTCGTTCCTCAAAGACGCCGTTTTCGTCTGCAAAACAGCACCGTGGTGTTCTTTTGTCTGGGTTGTTGAACATCTGCAGAATCAACGGACGACGTGTCCCTATTGTCGACTCAACAACGTTGAACTGGAAGCCGACAAGCGCCTCAATGAACGAACTTTTGCCGTCGCTCTGCATGCCAACAACCACAATTTCTGGTGTTTCGATTGGTATTCCAAGACTGGTCGAAAGGCTCTGCAAGTCATTAAATAGTTTGTGCAGTTTCTGGGTCGACCTGTTTGTTCCTCCTTGTTTCTCGACACGGGTCCTCTCAGCGTCAGTCTTCTGTCTAATTTCTCTGTACAACTCGTCGTCGATTTGTCTTCTTCTCTTTACTCCCTTCTTTGCAGTTGACGTTTCTGCAGTTTGTTTTGACGCTGCAATTTGTGGCATCAGCATGGCCATGAACTGTTGTTGCATCTCTGGCGACAACTGGGCAAAGTTTGGTGGAATCTGAAATCCAGAAAACTGTTCAGCGCTTTGTTGTTGGGGTTGAGTTGGTGTTGCCACAACCTGGGCTTTTGTTGGCAATGATTTTGGAGGCTGGTTTTGTTGGACGCTTTGGCGAGACGATGGGAGAGGCTGTGCTGGTCGCATTTTTTGTTGTTGAGGACCAACCTGAATTGGTTTGGGGTGTTGAATTACAGCTTGTTTTTGGACAACCTTTGGTGGATATATTTTAGAAGTTGTTTCTCGTGTTGTATTATTCTCGTGGTGTACAACTGGTTGAACGGGTTGCTTTGGAATCGTATTGATTGGGGTCGTCGTTTCCCGAATTTGAGGTGGTTCAACTTGCATCGGGGTGTTATTCACTGGTTCCAAATACGTGGGTTGAGCAACTTCGATCCTTGGTGCAGCTTTAATTGTTTCAGGAACTTTAGGTGGTTGTTGTGAGCTTGGCATGTTTTCAGGAGGGGCAACTACAAATGTTTCGATCTGGCTGCTGCCAACAGGCGGCATGAACTTTTGTTGTGGAGCTTCTTTTTGTGATGCCGTTATTTCTGGCAATGTGGCTTGTGATGCGAAATTCCTTTCGGGCTCTAAGGTATTTTGCGTAAATATGTGTTCACTTTGTTGTGTTGTTAATTCTTCCATTGGAATGACGTTTTGACTCGAAAATTCGTATTGTTGGGATGGAGGATTTGGGAATATTTGTTGGTTTTCTTCTTGTTGGGGACGTTCGATTTCCATTTGTTGTGCATATTGCGCCTCTGACTCTCTTTGGTTTGTTTCGACTTGCTGTATAGTATCTCTATCTTCCTCTGTTTGGCTGTCATTTTGAATCATTCTCGCTTTTTCTGCGGCTTGTTGTTGCAAAGAGTTTTGGACGTTTGCCGAGATGGCATCGAGCTGCTCTTTGGTGATTATCCTTTCTGGTTCATTCAAGATAGACATTGATTCTATTTACGATTTGACTCCACACCATTTTCGTTGCTCAAATTTGGTTTCTTTCCTACCTTTCAATCTTTTTCTTTTATTCTCTCAGATAACTAACTGTATTATCACAATAATATATATATAATATTAACTAATTAATTTATAAAAATAAATTCAATGTATTATAAACATTAACCATTTAAGTATCAATTATAAAATTTGTTTTGTTTTTAGTATTTTTTTTAATAAATATTTTTTAAAAAATATATTAAATATCTGGTAACAAATAGTACAATATAAATTATTATTATATATTATTACACAATTTTAAAAATAGTAAAATAAATAATACTAAATAATACATTAATAATAAGCAAATTCATTTGCCACCATTTATAAATTTGTTTTTAAATATTGTTTGGTTTGGTGATTTAAAACTTTTTACTGTCAATCTATACGTTATGTTAGTTTTCGACCTGTAGCATCTACTCTATTTATACAAACTATATATTATGGTATTTTAAATAAATAATTTATTATACTATACTAAATCAGATAGTTAAAAATAGACACTTGATAATTATATTTCCATTACTTAGATTCATTAGAAATACATTCATAGTAACAAAGAAATAACACATAATGTCAGTTGAAATAAGTTTGCAATACACATAAAATATAACAACTCATACATTTTTGATATTGTTTGATTATTCAATGAGTTAGCCTTTTACTTCTTAACATGGGGTACATTTCTTCTGATTATACATAAAGCTGAACTAAAACTTTTTCATTTAATGATTCAAAAACCAATCGTCCCTTTTCTTTCTCCTCTTCAGACATTACCATCTCTTCAAGTCAGTCTCATTTCAAATGGACCCGAAGACTTAGAAATGTCTGAGAATGGTTCTATTGTTCCTGAGAACCTTTTTCCCGGTCTCCAATCTGACAACCTCCCTACATCTCCACGTCTGGCTTCTCGAGGAAATGTTATTCAACCAAATAGTCCTAAAGTACCAACTGTGCCAATTGAACACATTTCTCAAATTCCTGGTAATTTAATTACAAGTGGTAATGTAATCAGTGCAATCACCAAGTATTTATCAGAATGGTCAAATAAGACTGATAAAATATCAACAGATACAGAACTATTTAAAGAAATTGAACAGAGAACAATGACTGATAAAGAAAGAGCACATTATAAAAGAGTCTTGCATGAGATGACTGAGACAGAGAGAATACATCTGAAGGGTCTTGAAATATTGGAAGAAGTCTATTTGACACCTTTAACCAAATCAACTGTTCCAGAAACTGTCAATTTTGTAAAACCAATTGTTTCTCAAATAAATTTGCTTCTTGGAGCTCACCAAAAGTTTTTGTCTATGATGGAGAAAGGTGAGAATGTCCCCGAAGGAGAACTTCCTATTATTGGAGCGGACTTTGTAAAGAATGTTTGTTTATTAATAGTTTTACAATACTATTATTTGTAAATAAATGAATATATATTTATACAATAGATTCAATTCCTCAAAATGGCTGCTACTTATATTTCAAAGTACTCAACGTATTTAATGGGTATCACTGATATTCTTAATAAAGAAAAAGATGTCGTGAGAAATCAGAACAAAGCAAAAGCTGAATATTTAAGAGTACACGAAGGATCTAAAGTTGAAATGATCTCGTTCTATTTAATCACACCAATTCAACGAATTCCACGTTACGAATTACTGATCAGAGATATGTTAAAGGATGTTGGTAAAGATTTTCCCGATGTCGAACAGTTAAAGAAAGCGTATTTACAAGCAAAAGAGTGTGGGAGAGGTGTTAATCAGACTCGTATGCAAATTGAAGAAGGCGAAAAGATGACATTGGTGAAAAATGCGATTGACAACTTCCCACAACTTGAGAATGTCTCTTCTAGAAAATTCATTTGTTGTGGTCCACTTATAGCACTTGATAACATGAATGACCCACCAGTTAAAACCGTATTTGTCTTTCTGTTCAATGATCTTCTTATTGTAACTAAAGTGAAGAAATTCAATGATAATGATATTAATGAAACAGATGCATATGATGCCAATTTATTTAAAGAAATTTCAGAAATTAAAACCATTGAAGACATTTCCAAAGCACATTTTGAGTTTTCAAGGATAGTGTTTTTCCAAAAAGGATCAAAAATGATGCCACTAAGCGACAATTCAATAGTCAAAAATGTCTTCATGTTCATGGCTTATGAAGAAATGAAAAATTCATCTGAAAAGAAAGGTATGTATGTTTTACTTAAATTTTCTGCAATTACGCCTGAGCAAAAGGAATCGTGGAAATCTGTCATAAATGACCAAATTTCTTGTATTAAAGAGAGAGAAGAGAAATTGAAAAAGGCGCAAGAGAAGATCCAAAACACGACAGAAGTAATTAAAGTGGATAAAATCCCTTCCAAATTGTTTGATAGAAGTTGCTCAAAATATCTTCCACAAAGTGTTGGCAAGTTGGTAACAAGTTCGGGTACAATTAACTCTGTATTGAAATTACTTCACGACACTTTTAACAATTCACAAAGCCTTCAAAAAGAGGTGTTAGACTTATTCGAAATTGTAGATAAAAAGGAGATGGATAAAGATGAAGTTAAAAGATTCAGAGCGATATTTGTCGATTTGTGTAACAACGAAACAAGCCACCTTTGGGTATTAAAGACGTTGAAAGAAGTATATTTACCAGCTTTGAGTAAAAGTGTAAATAAAGAGCAAAATGTGTATGTAACGGATGCACTAACACAAATAAATGTTATGACCGACATTCACAAGGATCTCTTAGTGCTTTTTACCAAGGCAAAGCGAAAAACCGAAGACAAAAAGATTCCCCTTGTAATGGAAGATATTTTGAAAAAGGTGTGTTCTATTCTCATTATTAAAATGATAATAAAATTACTATATAACAATACTTAAAAATAGATTCAATTTATGAAGACCGAACTTACATATATTGGTAATTGCCATATATACACAAAACTTTTTGAAGAGGTATCAAAGAATCCTATAGTAGAAAAAGCCATCCAAAAAGCAAAGGAGACATTTTTGGACAACATCAAGTATAAGACGCCAATAGAGTCGATGAATGAATGTCTAATGAAACCTGTGCACCAGTTAATGAGTTATGAATTGTTCATGAAAGCACTCTTAAAACACTCGTGGAATAATTATGAAGAACTCAATGAATTAAAAAGAGTGTATTTGGATGCGAGACAATGCCACAAAGATGCTTTAAAAACAAAAACTCAACTTGAAGAAAAAGAAAAGACACAAACAATTTTGGATCTTTTTGAGACGCCACTCAATTTAGACAACGAACAGAACGACAGCGAAGAACATGAGATTAGATTCAAGTGTTCTGGCCCACTCTTTATTGTTGAAAATTTGAATGAGACTCCAAAGAACTGGAAATATTTCTTCTTGTTTAACGACCGACTTGTGATGAGTGAAGTTGTTTCGTATAACAACTTACCAATTATTGATTTGGTTGACGTCTTTGGCAAACTTCGAGTTGCAAAAAGTGTTGATGATTTGAAGATGTTCAAATTCCAGATAGTCAAAGAGTTCACGTTTAATGCTGATGTCACTCTAGAAGTTCATCCAGTAGACAAAATGTGTAAGTTTATTATATTACTCAAAGTGCTACAAGTACCTTACCGACTCTCCTGTTCAACAGAAAGCGAGTTTGACGTTTGGAACTCGATAATATTTGACCAGATTGAAAAAATCAAAAATGGTGATGTCAATGAAGAACCTGAGACACTTGCAATGTGTTTTGCATGTCTCGCAAAAGGTTCACAAAAAAATCCACATAGTCCGATTCGAATTGATTCTTCCCCAAGAAGAGTGACTGAAGTGTTATCTCCGCGTCGAGCAAGATCAGAAGACCCACACGAAAAATTTGATTTACTCATGGAAAAGCCCAAATTTGTGAAACGCCTTCCAACACAAGCAACTGGACAAGAAAGAGTTTTTTTCAATAAACGAGTCGGAAGGCCATCAAGCCAGAGTTATCAGGTAGATAATGAAGAACTTAAAGAAGACTAATTTAAATATCATAATGCACTTTATTACTTATTTATTAGTTCAATTCAGACGTCAAACTTTTTAAATATCAATTTAAATGAATTATTCGAGGAGTTGTAGAACTCTATCAATGTCGAGTCGAGACTCTTCTTCACTGAGCATCTGCAATATTATTTGTTCCCATTGCTTCAATTTGCCTTCAACTTTGATACTCTTCTTATTAACAGGAGCGCCACCAACACTTCCACCAGCCGCAATAATCCAAGCCACTGCAAGACCAAAAATGTCTGTTTGGAATGAACTGCTTTTGCTGTTATAAT